CCCCCCCGGCCCTTCCTTTTATTTTTTTCATTGATGACTGAAATTATTAGAACAAATTGGTGGATCACCACTAGCAAAGTAATAGGACCTCACCGCATGCATTTTGAACAATTTTGTTTTTCAGTGCTAGGAGTCAAGGGCAGGGCCTTGTACACACTGGGCAAGTCCTCGGTACTGAGCTCCACCTTCGTCCTCACAGTGCACACGTTTGGGATCTAACCTTACTTGCACCCTACTCTTATTTCCCTTTGTCCCATTTCCTTCATGCATTTAATATTTTATCTTGTATCGCCAATTCAATAAACAGCCTATATTGCTATGAAACCCCAAAACTTAGAAGATAAGAACAACCTTTGTACAATCTCAATAAGCCAAGAATATGAGACCAGTCAATCAGTCTGGCTCAGTTTTTGGGGCGGCCATGATGTCTTTCGACCTCCACCTTGAGGGCCTCTTCCAAGTTCACTCACCTGGCTGCTGGCTGGAGACCTCGGCTTCTTACCTCATAAGCTTCTTTTTAGGGCAGCTATGCTACCACACAGCAGCTGAATTGTCCAGGAGGAAAGAAAGGAATGGAAGAAAAGCTCAAGATAGAAGCGCTGGTTTTTATACCCTAACCTTAGCAACAACATGCATCTTCTGTGTGCGCTGTCTTCTAAGACCAACCTGGCTCACTATGAGAAAGCTCACAGCTCCAGATCACTGGAGCCCAGCTTTAAGTGTGGCTACCACGTTCCTCAGTACCCTCTGAAATAATGTCAACTTACAACGGAAGTGTGTGCTGTCAACTCTGAGGTAGGAGAAGAGAGAAGCTTTATGGAACCTTATTGTGAATATAATTTTATGTCATTAAGGCAACACAGACGCTACTTGGGGAGGGTGAAAAGAAGGAAGACTATGGATTTGTGGTATGAACTGGTCTTGTTGAAGTGGTTAGCAACAAAAAGAATATCAGTAGAAGTAATATTATTTTAAACCAGAAAAAAGAAAAATATAGTAGATACATATTAATTAGAAAACTCTGGGTCACAAGTGTCAGAAAACTCAACGCAAATTGTCTTAAGGAAGCAAGTGAGTGATCCAGGTAACCAAAGAGCTTTGGTGAGGAGTAGGATAAGACTGGCTTCACATACAGCTGGGTCCGTGTTCAACCTCTCTCTCTGCCTCCCTCCCTTTGCATACCATCCCTGCAAAGTAGGCTTTGAACGTGGATATCAGGCATTTTCATCATCACAGTGGAAACACACTCATAATTTGAAGCATTACTCAATAAGTCAGTCTAAATTGCAATATAAGAACTGTGCTAAAATGGGGGCTTTAGAAACACTTTCTTCTGTTTGATTTTCACCCAGAAACAGGTTTAGAAAATATCTAATTTTTCCCACTCCTATTTTATTGATTATACAGATGAATGAGTTTCATTTTGGCAGATCTGTAGCTGTGCATAACACATCTTCACTAGTTTCAGATTGGATTTAAATTAACATATTTTGATTATATACATCTTGCCTATTAATATCAAATTTTAAAGGCCAAAAGAACTGTGCTATCTTGTCTAGAGAAAGGAAGAGAGCCCTGGCATGAACGTAGTAATAAGTCATCTCTAGAACTTTGATGTGTTACTATAACAAAATCCTAATGCTTTTCAGTGATGTTCCTTTCTTCGGGATCAGAACTTAATGGAAGCACAACTTTGGTGTGCATTTGTAGTTCTTTTGCTTTCTCAAAAGAAATTACTCACTTTGCTTGAGACAGAGAATCTCTCTAAGTTGTAGTGAAAGCTTCTTGTCTAACCCTAAGAGAATTTCTAAGAAATTAGCCCTACACTTCTAAGAATTAGTCTTTCTTTTCCATGGCGAGAAATTTGCCAAATTTTGTGTTCTCTGTACCACCAAGGATCTAAGACCAAGGAGGACTTGAGTGAAAACTTAGAGAAGGGGCTGGGGGGAAAGTCTGGGCAGCCCTGCCAGGAGGTAGCCCTGAAAGGGGCACTCACAGAGATCCAGATGCCTCCAGAACTACGCTAGCACCATGGTGGCCTGGGGACATCTCACTAGAGCCCCATGGGCAGATACCAGCAAGCTGCCCAAAACTTAGAAGCCCTGTGGCAAGCTCCCAACCATCAGGTGAGTGGGATTCATGCCCTTGGGTTTAATTCCACACTACAGATAATGTAGCCGTCCCTTAGGAGCAGGACCCCCCACCAAACTTCAAGGCTAATGCTGTAAAGGACTTACCAGGATGCCAATGTGAACTTTGTGGTTGAACCAGGACACCTGGTGCTAGAAACAGGAGGAAGGAATACCTGTGTTAGTTTTTGAGCTGTAACAAATAGCTAAGGTAATCAGCTTAAGAGAAAAGCTTTACTTTGCCTCATACTGTGAAGGTTTCAGCCATGGTCAGTCGGCCCACTGCTTTGGGACCTGTGACAAGGCAGCACATCATAGCAAGGGCAGGAGCAGGAGAAACATCCTCATCTCATGGTGAGGACTGAAAGAGAAAGAGGAGGGGCTAAGGTCCCAAATCCCAGGGAAGTCACAGCCCCGGGCCTCCTCCCACCATGCCCCACCTCTTAAAGGTTCTACTACCTTCCAGCAGCACCACAGGCTGCCAACCAAGCCATGAACACGAAGGCCTCTGCAAAGCATTTAAGATCTAAATCACCACAACCCCAACACAAAATCAAAGAGCAACTCCCATTAAAATCTAACCTGTGGGGCTGGGGATTTAGCTCAGTGGTTTCGCCGCCTGCTGCACAAGCACAAGGCCCTGAGTTCAATCCCCAGTACCAAAAAAAAAAAATCTAACCTGTGGATTTTGGCCAAACATCAATAAATTCCTGGCAAAGGGCACTGTCAAATAGTAGGATGCATCCCAAAGATGCAAGTGATTTCATCTGGAAAGTCTTAAAAATAGACTATAAGGGGTAGTTTAACCAACCTCTTGGTACTTAGCTTGCAGGGATACAAGTAATACTACAAAAAAAAGGTAAGAACACAAAGAGAAAGTGGTGAAAGAAGAAATCAAGTGGAAAGTGAGATATGGTTTTTTAAATGTAAGAAAACAGGCAGATAGGCTTTTGCTGAGTTAGGAAGATAAATCATGCCCACAGGTGTAGCCATTTTGTGGTAGTGAGCTGATTGCAATGGAGCAATTAGTAAACTTTGGCAAACTCTGCAGTACTCCTTGGTACTTTCCTCCTCCCTGCCAACTGATTAAATGCTCAGAACCACAGTGCTCCAAACAAGTAAACAAGCATGACTTGTCAAGACACCTAAACATAATTCTCTTACCCTGTTCTTCTATTCTACCTTACTTTTATCATAGAGCCTGTGCTCAAGGCTGAGCTGTAAAAGAGACACTACTGAAAAATTGCTAGAAACCTAAGCAAAGGACCAGGACCTTGACCCAAGACAGGTGAGTCACCTGCGGAGATGGCCAGGAGGCCAGGGCACAGGGGAGAGGAGACCTCCTTGTGAAAGATCTGCTTAGAGGTTCAGCCACTTTCCCTGTACCCAGCACACTCAGTCCTGCACTGAAGTGTGAAGCTGCATCTCACTACTGATGGACTTGCTGTGTTTGGGCTACTTAACATTAGCATTCAAAGGACTGGGCCCTGATATTAGCCGCACGGAGAAGAGGAAGGGCAAGGAAGAAGGAAGAACGCTCCGTGGGTCTGTCCCCGTCCCCAAAGCACCCTAACTCTGTAAGATGATTCTCGCTTATTTTCTCATATAGCTCATAGCCAAGCCGCTCATCTCTCCAGCTCCCTGTCAACCAGACCTGATCAAAGCCCTGGGGCACCATCTCCTCAGGGGATCCAGCCCTGAGAGCTCCTGGTGCTTTGGGGAAAAGAAGACTTAGGAAATGAAACAACTCAAGAGAATCTCAAGACCGTAGCTAAGTATCACAGAGTGAGGGACTGACGAAAAGCTGTAAGAATTCAGAACATTAGAATCTCAATGGCTTTGAACATGGAGGTAGATGTGGAAGGGGAGAATATGCATCCTAGATATCCCATCTTAGGCTCACCCCAAGCCCCCGTAAATGTACCCAGCTGAAGCCCACACTGGGCCCCTCTCCCTCTTGAGGGCCCGCACTCTACTCCTCTGAGTACTTTTTAAATTCTGCTAATAAACCCGCTCCTGCCTCTTTCTGAAGCTTCCTGAAAATCCTTTTCTGTGATGGAAGTCAGAGAACCTGCGACCTGCTCCACGGATGGAGCGAGGAGAAATTCCCATATCCACTTTGGGGTCCTCCTCAGACCCTGTCCAGCAGCCAAGGAAGCCCATTAGTTACCTGCCTAGACATTGTCAGTGCTCTGAGAGTGAGTAGCTTTGGGGGAAAATGTAATACGAAAGTATGGCAGTGACATACTGAGCGGGGACAAACTGACAGCAACTTCTCTAGGACCAGGAAAGAGAGGGTGTCTGCTCTCACTCCTATCCAGGGTACTGCCTGAAATTGCAGGCAGAGCAGTTAGAGAAAATGAACAAATAAAAGGGTTGTGAACAAGAAAAAAGTCAAATTATTCTTATTTGCAGATGATTTGGTCCTGCACTTAGAAGACCCTAAGTAGACCACCAAAAGACCTTTAGGTCTGACAAGCAAATTCAGCAAAGAAGCAGGATATAAAATCCACTGTGGAAAATGATGGTTATTTTACCATGGATTCTTTAAAGGCCACATTGTGGCTGAATGACGAGTTTGTAGAAAACATGACCTTTTCACCTTGTAAGCTACACATAAACTACACATACATCACTAGATGTTCTTACTGCTTGACATGTCTTAGAGAATACCATTTCCTCCCCATCCTAATATCATAGCAAAAGCCCCATTCAAGCACAAGTGTATCCTATATATTTGTTAATCAATTTTACCTAGAAAGGCTGTTTCTAGCAACACTGGACCCTGTCAAACAAACATATTGCATCAGTTTTTAAACAATACCTGGCTATCTTTAGAATGGAGTTGGGTGGACAATAGAACCACCATGAAAGCATTCTTGGGATGTTTCCAGACCCTCTTCTCACCTTAATATCAACACAAAGGTTCCTGCTTTCTCCATGGAGGCACACTTCTCTGCTGGAACCCATCTGTTGGTCTCTTGCCGTGTGGCAGTAAACCCTTGAATTTCTGTATTTCCTGACTATTAGTAAATTCTTTCACTACGTGCAGTGCTGGCCTTTCACATGCCACACTTCACATGGCATCAACATTAAAAAAATCAATAGCTTTTCTATACACCAACAATGTGAACTAGCTCAGAAATAAATGAGGAAAATAATTCCATTCATAATAGTTTTTAACTATTAACTATTAACCTTAAGTTTTTAACTAAAAACCTTAAGAGACAACCTCACAAAGATTTTAAAAAATTGAAGAGGACAATAGAAAATAGAAAGACCTCCTATGTTCATGGTTCAGCAGAATTAATATTGTTATAATGGTCATATCACTGAAATTGACTGATAGAGTCAATGAAATTCCCATTAAAATACTAATGACATTATTCACAGAACAAAAATTCTAAAATTTATATGGAGACATAAAAGACTTAGAATAACCAAAGCAATCTTAAGCAAAAAAAACAAACCTAGAGGTGTCAAAATACTCTATTAAAAATACCACAAAGCCATACTTTTAAAAAACATGGTACTGGCACAAAAATAGACCTATACACCAACGGAATAGAGGTCAAAGAAACAAACCCACAACATACATTCAAGAATAGACACCTCTTTATCAAATGGTGGTGGGAAAACTGGATATCTATATGGAAAAGATTGAAAGGGGATTGCTATCTCTCACCCTGTATAAAAAATCAATTCAAAGTGGATCAAAGACCTGAACCTTTGAAAGTGAGAGAATAAAACACAAGAGAAATGCTTGAAACCACAGACACAGGCAAAGACATCCTGAATAGGACTCCAATAGATAGGAAATAATAGCAAGAATCAGAAAATTGAACTACATCACATTAAAATGTCTATACAACAACAAAAAAAACAACCAACAGAGTGAAGACAGAAAGATTACAAAATGGGAGAAAATCTCGTCAAGTACTCTTCCAACAGACAATTAATATTTAGAATATATAAAGAACTGAAAATGTTAACATCAAAATAAAAGTTATCTAATCAATATATGGGCAACTGAATTGAATAGATACTTCTCAAAAAAGTACAAATGACCAATAAGTATATGAAAAAAAATTCAACATCTTTAGGAAAATGCAGATCAAAACTACCATGAGATTTCAGCTCACCCCAGTTAAAATCCCTATCATCAAAACACACACACACACACACACAATAAATAAATAAATAATAAATGCATCGTGCTGGTGAGATGCAAGGAGAAGGAAGCCTTCTACACTACTGGTGGGAATGTAAATTTGTACAGCCACTATGGAAATCAGTATGGAGAGTCTTCAAAAACTAAAAATGGAACTATCATATGACCCAGCCGTACCTCTACTTGGTATATGCCCAAAGGAATTAAGGTCAGCATACCATAGGGATACCTGCATACCCATGTCTACTGCAGCACATTTCACAACAGTTGCTATGGCTTGTATCTGATATCCCCCAAAGCCTCATGCACTCATAGGTAGGCTTTCTGGTGGTTGGGTATAGGGTATATGATACTGGGACTAAGGGTGTGTGATAACTAAATGAGTTAAGCATAGTTCGCAGTGTGGATAACAGAAGTCCTATCCTGGATATTGGTGGTATCAATCAATAGGCTAATAGCCTGGATGGAATTTAAGGGGAGAGATGGAAGGCAGGCTCTCTGCTGCTGCTGGTGCCGCTGCTGCTTCACTGTCTCCTGCCTGCTTTGCCATGGACTGTTTCTCCTCTGCTGGGCCCCTCGGCTATGACACCCTGCTGTGGAACCAGCTGACTATGGACTAAAACCTCTACAAACTGTGAACTGGAATAAACCTTTCCTTCTTTAACTTATGGGTCTTGGGTATTTTGTCTCAGCAATAAGATAAGTAAGACAGCAGCCAAGATATGGGATCAGTCTAGATGCCATCAATAGATAAGTGAATAGAGAAAATGTGGTCTGTGTGTTATGCACGGTAAAGAACAAGGAAAATGGGTAGAACTGGAAATCATCGTTTAAGGAAAATAAGCCAAACTCAGAAAGATAAGTATCTCAATTTTTAGCCAATACATGGAATCTAAAAACACAAAATAAGATAGCAGGAAAGTACAAGTCCATAATTAGACAAAAGGAAAAAAAGGATAGGAAGAAGGAGGGTTAAGTGTGGTAATGGGGGAATGGATATAATCAAAATATATTATATTACCGGGGATTTAGCTCAGTGGTTTCACCACCTGCTGTGCAAGCGCAAGGACCCAAGTTTGATCCCCAGTACCAAAAATATATATATATATATTATATGCATAAAAATGCCACAGTAAATCCCAATATTTTGTCAAATTAATAGGCACTAAAAA